TATTTAATGGCCATCCTACGTGGAAGTATGAAAAATGGTGAAAATTTTAAGTCCCCTTATATAGTATATACATTTTCTTTGTTTGCATATTAAAGTTTTCTACATTTTAGATGCTTGATGTCTCTCATACTACTAGCGTTTGCACAAATGTAATATGCCCAATTTGTAATTGTTTTGAAATTCCTATGATGTTTTATCATGCATAATTCAGTTATCTTTATTTTTGTTGATCGAAATGTCTTCATGTAGTGTGTGCAAACACAATATATGATAAAACACATTTAAGATAATATATGAAGTATTATACTAGCGGCTTATAGTTTGATGAAAATAAATAGTCTGATTACATGTACCAAAGAAATATAACAATAATCCAAGAGCCTGTTTGGTAATCACGTTTTTGGTTTTTCATGCTTATCAACCAATTTTTTCACCAAAACACATAACTTTTGGGTTTGCACATTAAATTGTGTAATAATAAGAAAAAGTAAGGTTGAAGTTACTTTTATGGCTGTATTGACTGAAAGTTACTGAAGAGGAGCATTTTAGCTATTTTATCATATTTTTTCTTTATTTTGTTAATAAAATATATTTTAAATATTTTTTATAAATCAGGAGAATCGATCAATACAACCACTTTAGCCAGAACTTAATAAATTTCAGTAGAATTAGTCAAAAAAGCCGATTTGGATATTACCAAACGGGCTCCAAGTGTGTTACGTTGCAGAAGAAACATTTTTCTCTTCCAATTCGTGTGTAAAGGACTAAAGGTAGTTATCTTGATTTGAGTGGAAATGTAGGTATAGTTTACAGTGCATAAATGGCATGAGAGATAGCCAATGAAAAAACAATAAATAGAATATATCTCTCATTATTTGAAGGATCTATCATTTTGGTAAGTTTTTCTTCACAATGTCAAGCACAATGTCTAGATGTAGACATTGTGGTTAACATTGAAGGGAAAAACTTACCAAAAACACATAAGATCGTGGAAAGACGGAGAGAGAAATGTTATAAAAATCAATCTTTTGTGTCTATCTCTCTCATGTCACATGTGCACCGTGCACATTGTAGCATTGGAGATGCTCTAAGTTGTAACTAAATGTCATTTAGTAAACTATACCTAATATGATTAAATGCTTAAATAAGAATTGAGCAAAAGGTAGTTTTATATGGGTTTGATTTAGGAATATATTTGAACGCACATGTACATGTATTTGGAAATTGAGTGATGTGTTAGTATTTAATAAAATATTGTATATCATAAAGTCATACAAATCAAACCAAACTTCAATAATTATTAATTACACATACAGTAGATATTTATCAAACCATATTTAAATAGACCAGATCAAATCAGATGAGACTCGATCAAATAAAAAAAATAAATAAATAAACTTTAATTTCACCGATGGCTTAGCGAAAAAACAAATTGAGAAATGTATTTTTGTGTGAACGAACTCCGTTAAATAAATATAAAATCATTAGAGGTTGTATATAATGGTGCAATAGCTAAATTTACCGGAAGTGAAATAGTACACATGTTTTTTTATAAAAAGAAACATGTGAGGTGAAAATAAACAATAAGAGAAGCAACATATCCTAATCAAAACTATATAATAAGTCAAGGTATTACAAGTTGAAACAAATCTATTCTATTATATTTATATATAAGAAAAGAAATAGCTCATTAAAATACAATTATATCCTTAATGAATCTATATGTCAATCTCTCCACAATTTGCTTATTTCCTATAAAAATGTCATGTGGCTTTCTAAACTAACTCACCAAAAACAATTCAACCGTGCTTCTCACCTCATTATTTATTACTAAATAAATTAAAATTCTTAAAACAAATGTTAGCTCCCAATCAAATAAAATCCCTTAATTTTTTGAAGTACTACATCTTTTTTATTTGTAATCTGATTGTCACAAAAATCATATCAAATTTCATATTTTTTTATTATCTTTCATATAACACCAATATTGTATATATAAATATATAAATAATAATTTAACTCTTTAATAAAACTCATGTTTTATAGTGGTATAACTTTTTCATTTGTCCAGATTACCATCATTTTTTTCGTGCACACTATTAATCTAGAGTGATAGCTTACAGTAAAATTGCAAAATTTCCCGTGCAAAGAATAAAATAATAAATAAAAGTGATAGAATTTGTGCAATTTTATTATAAGTTATTGCTTCAGATTAGTAGTGCGCACGGTAAAAAAAGAAAATACACTACATACATAATAGAATTTATATTTTTTATTTATATACTTCCTCTGTCTCTTAAAACATTGTCAAGTTTGATCGGTATAGAGAATAATAAAATAAAAAACCGTGTAATTGAAAGTTGTGCGGAGGAAAGAGAAATAAAAGAAATTACAAATCAATTGATTAGAAGAGAAAATGGAAAAGTTTTTGGGACAATATAAAAGAAAAGATGATAAAATTTTAAGGGACGGAGGAAGTATATGCACGATTAGTGTCCTATGAATGATAATGAATAGGAGTAAATTTCTGCAAAATTTAGCATTACTAGGCTTTAAAACTTAGCATTTTTTCTAAACTTGGCAGATTGCTCCTATTCAGAAAATAAAAAATATGATACTTGAATTTCAAAACATTTTTGCTCTTATTTAGAGCAATTTCTAAATAAAATTCTATCTGAAAACTACCACTAAAACCAAACGAGCTCTTATCTACTTTTGATTTGGTTAATTTTGTGATTACCATTCCCGATTTACGTAACTACGTAGGATTAGAATTATTTTACCTTTTCGTAACTACCATTCCAAAAGTTGACGTGCAAATGATGCAAAATGGTCTCAAACAAGTAAAATGCGACCAAATCAGTTAAAACTTAAAACACAATAACTAAGAAAAGTTTTCTTTTAAATGTTGCTATCTTGACAGTCACTTACAAAAAGTGAGTACACCCATTTATTCCAAAAATGTGATACATGAGGAAATAAAATTAGAAATATATACACGTCACTACCAGTTTATTATCATTGATTTTTTTTTGTATGGGCTTTTTCCATGAATATTACTCCCTCCGTCCCTAAATTATCTTCAAACTTTCCTTTTTCGTCCGTCCCAAAATTATCTCCTCTTCCCCTTTTTAGCAAAAAATTTGTGGTTCACAACCATTCTTACACATTCTTACACATTTCTCTCTCCTCTGCACAACTCTCCATCACACAAATCTCACTATCTTAATAAATGTGCCCAACCGAAAAGGGAGAAAGATTAGGGACAGAGGGAGTACCAAATTAAGACCGATTTCCGAAAAAGTGACCATTTTTAAAAAGGACAATAATGTGACTAAGAATATCAATTATTTTGAAAAATATGATGCCACTGACAATATGTCACTGTTGTATGTCACTATCATATATTTATGTCACTTTTGAATGTCACTACCAGATTTCGTGTCACTTTAGAATGTCACTGTATCGTTGGAAAAATTTTCAGACCACAACTTGTTGGCCACCTACGGCTACCACCGCCCTAAAACAGTCGGCAAGCACTGCCAACCACTGTCGGCATTCGGCAATCGGCCGGAAACCCCCAATACACCAGTGATCCGCCGCTGCCACTGTAAGACCCCGAGGTAGTTACTTCGGACCTCTAGTACTGTCCTCACAAACCGCCACTAACCTTTTCCGCGCACTTTGTCCTCACTCGTGCGCGCCCTGAGAAACTTCCCAGGGAGTCACCCATCCCAAAACTACTCCCGTGCAAGCACATTTAACTTTGAAGTTCTTGGCTAATGAGCTCCCTTAAAAGGAGATGCACCTTATTGGTATAAGTAGTACTATTAATCCTTTTAAATTAAATCTCAAGTGTTACAGCCACCCATAATAAACAACCACTCTGTAAGTAACCACCCCACCCCTAACCTTTCCGGCGGCCAACCTCCCCAGACACCTTTCGAATTGCCCAACCACCGGCCACCACACCTCAGCCAAACTCCTCCTTAGTCCTTCCTGCTGCAATGGCCTCAACACCTCCCAGAATTGGAATTCCACCCACCGCCAATGTCATCCTCAACCCCATCCCCCCAATCCGTTAGCTCAATTTCCTCCAACCTCGCGCGCACACCCTTCCCACCGGCAACCTCGATTGGTAGCGCGCACATCAAACCTACCATCGTCGCCAATTTGTAGCTACGTCTTACACAAATAGATTGAGTGATGAAGATGACTGAAAATCTGAAATAATTGTCAAATCGGTGCTCTAGTTGGAAAAAAAGAGAAGATTGGAAAGTTGTGGCGATGAAGGCAGCGCAACAGCTGGGAAACATCGTCGATGGGAGGCACGAGCGGCGGCCGGATGCGCGGTAGAAGGTAGGCAACAACTCTAGGTTACCGGCGAGTTAGTGGATGGATTGCATCTGAAATGTCCATCCATGTAGCAGACTAGTAGAGGAGTAGAACACTAGAACGGGCAGGTCATTCAGGGACATTTGGACCCAATTATTATTAATTGGGTCAATTTTTTGGAAAATAAAAAAGGAATCATATATTGTCATTAGAAACATTAGGTGTAATATTGGGGTCATTATTTCTTTTTATATTACAAGAAATGCCGAACATGATACTGTACCTCGGCGACAATCCGACAAGGACAGTTTTTGATTTTTTTTCTAGGATGGATCAAAGGTGGCGATGGTGAGGGGCAGTTGGGTAGGGATTGGAGGGAAAAGATTTTGAATGATTTAAAACTTTAAAGTCTCATCACATTTCCATCCTCTCAAAATCTAAGACAGAAGAAAACTTAGCTAAGTTACTTTGGAGAAAAATAGGGATGTAAAGTACTGGAATAAAAGTTTAGAGGATCCAACAAATGCTACGTCCTCCACCACTTGTTGGATCACTTGCAGAAAAAGGGGGCAGACCAGATGCTTCATGCCCCCTCCTAATTTTAGAAAGCAAAGTGTCCACTAAAAAGCATCCACATATTTATTTCACAGAAAAGAGGGGGGCACCCCCATAATAATTTCCTGCAAAATAGATCTCTGCACATTTTTTGATTGACAACTCAAGAACAAACGCTTTGGAGAAAACATATATACTCTCAATCAATGCTTGACACGTACAATACCAACAACCAAGAACTAAAGTTTGAAGTTCTTTGAATATCTATTATGATGGGAATGGGGAAGTACATGGCAACATCCTCATATTCTTTTTAGGCAGTCAAACTTGATAGCCAAATATATATGGCAGGACTACGAAAATTAAATTCTGTTAGGGTGTGAGAATATGATCATGTACGTGTTTAGCTAGCCTGAGTGAGCCAAATAAAGCGCCCTTGTCGCTTAAACACCTGTTTTACCTGTGTATGTAGCGCCCGTATTCTGTGCTTCATAAAAGAAAATTACGTCAAACGTAAAGATTACTCATCTAGTCATCGCTTAAACTGTTACATTACAAAGAAATGAATGACATATCCATAATGTGTTATATGGTCATACCAATTGACTTTTACAACCTTGTCTTCCATATGAATCAATAAAGCAAAATATTATGTTCCTAAGTATTTTGGAGGGGGAGGGGAACATGCTTGCAAAGGATCGATTGCCCGTTTTTTACAATCCCTGTCCTCCATCTATGAATGCTTCATAGTAGTTTGTATACCTTTGAAAACGCACTAATGCAGGTACTCTAGCTATAAAAGCCACTAAAGCTTTAAAACGTTCAATAATAATTCATACTCCGTATTTTTTTGGGTACAAAGGAAATAAATTCATACATCCCAGAATTTGACCTTGGTTGCATCCTCATTTTATTTCATTAAAGAAATATTAAATGGTTGTGGGTTTATCTACATTATAAATCGATGTATATACATATTTTAGTAAAGGTTAGCACTTTTTTGCTATATAGACCAAATATAAGTGCTTTCCAGAATGTTGGTAATAGGTATTATACTAGAGATATAGGTTTCGAAAAGGTATGACATATGGCCAGAAGAAAAAAGTAATAGTCACAGAAGGGAAAGAGACATTTGGGGATTACCCAGGAGAAAAGTGGCTGGCTTCGAGTACTGAAAGAGAGATTGCCTCATTCATCTAGTTGCACTTTTAACTCGGGAATCTCAATATCAACTGAACTTGGATTATAAATATGCTTTTGCCTTCGCCATCCAAAACGGGTACACTTAATCTCCATTTTGAGCTACTGGACTCCTACTTTTAGTTAGCTGAGGAACAATAGACAAGAGAAAACAGAATAAGATGAAATTTGATGCCCGAAACAAATGATATTGCCATTATATCTATTAACACTTTTAACTGTAAATAAAGATTGATTACAAATTAAACCTCAAATAGTAATAGTGAAAATAATAATAATAATAATAATAATAGATGTCATGTCAACAATGAGTTGTTTCAAATCCATAACATCCACAAACTGTAATCTGTATAAAGTATCAGTTGGAGTATAAATATATGAATGCATCTGTATGTGTGTTGACAATGAATTGAAAAGATGCAAAAACAAATATCATTTCAAACCGAAAGCAATTAATGCCACATAGATTAGCATAAACAACCTTGTGAAAATACTTCTTCCGTAGTTTGATGGCTGTTCGCACACATCTCTTCACCCGAATCTTTAACAAATTGTCATTAAATATCTGAAACATTTCAAACATTACAGTTGAGATCCACTACTACTCCTAAGATAACTGCAATAAACTGAATATCCACAAGTGGCCCGTCCCTGTCCCTCCTGGATTTCCCCCTCCAACAAGGAGCACAGCCCAGATCAGGAAGAAGAAAAAATGCATTGTGCATTTAGGGCAAGAAATAACGATGCACTAAGTTAACATGCTATTTAAAACACCATGACCAAGATTAAGGGAAGAAATCAAGAGTTCAAGACACACTGAAAAACATTTAAACATTAAGGATGAAAAGGATACTCAATTTGCACTACAGCCGATCAAGTCCATGTAAAAGCAAATCTTTCATCAAATTCCACATGGTATATGCATAACATGGTAAGCAGTGAACTTGAAACTGCACAAATTTGAACATTTATGGCATTCCATATGTGGTATGCCTATCCAAGAATGCAAGGGTATTGATATATGGCTAATAATAGTGACCAAGCAGATAATAAGTTAAAAGATAGAAATTCATGGTAAAGCAAGAGAAAAACAAATTAGCCATGTTGTTAGATGCCAGCCGTGCCAGGATGGACTTGTGGCTTTGAGCTTAGCCCCTATAGAAAATTTGTGTGAAATGGCAGCGTAAGGTAGATTGGTCATCCATGGATCCACCATTAATGACAGTAGCATTAAGTACTACCCAACACATGCATAACTATCGCTGAACAATGGATAAAATGAATCACAATAAGCAACATTTCACAATAAAAAGTTAAGATGAACCTGCCTTTATCATATCATCGATGGAACGGGTTTCTTTAATAATCTTTTGTCGGTTCAAAACTAGAATAGCTGCCACACAAAAAACTGGTAGTTCGTCATCACTACTCCAAATCGTTGACACATCAGTTCCATTCTGCATGTGATCGCTTTTTGACCACAAATTTCTAGCCAACCCACAAAAGGGGTGAACCAAAGTTGACTTCAATCCAGTGTTCTCAGAAATTGTATTATCTGCATATCCATTTTTTGAGGGTGACTCACTAGAGTGTTTACTTTTATTGTCAACACTTTCTTCATCTAACTCCACATCTGACTCCTTTGGAGTCTGGATGACCAATAATTCTGGACAGCTCTCCTTCAGATTGCAAGACATAGATTTCTTGAAATCAGCAGCCCACATCATCTGCATGGTGAATGTAGTAAACTGCCACATGAGCTTATCAGGTAGTAGAAATTATTGTGCATATGAATTGAAACTTATGTATCAGCACTTTCTTTCAGTGCATTACCTTTGACGCATACACTTTTTCCTACTGAGGAAGAAAGTAATAAATGGACATGATACTTGGAGTTTACTCGTGCCAAGACGTTGCTAGCATCCAGCACGGAGCGACTTAAATGATGGGTTTTCAGTAAATGAGAGAAAGTGGCCTCCATACTTGTTATGTCTTTGGTGAGTGGTTACTAACACTTACCCAATTACCCCATCTAAAAAAAAGTGTCATGTTTGTAATACTAAAACAACTATTATAAACAGAACTCTTTCTTTGGGACTGAAGATGTACTAGTAAATGCTGTGCTTACTTCAAAGTTGGTCCACCTTTCAATAAAATATAAGTGCAAACCCCCAACAACAAAAAATTCATATTATCACCTACCACTTCCTCAGCTTTTTTATGTCTGAAGAGAAGAAAAACCCTACTTTTCCCCTTTCCATTCCCATAAACAAAATGAGCAGAAATGCAGGTGGAGCCATGATGTATTAATGCAAAGCAAAAAAATAAAACTAAAATAAAAAAGGAACAAGGACTTGTTCAAGTGCGCAATCAATTTCCATGTGCTTAAGCATGAAGATATTTATTGGGTATGGTATCAGCATGCAATGATGCAAATATGCAATTAAGTACTTTAACACAAATGTGATTTTATGTTTATCAATGTCATGGCATGCCAGTTTACACAACAGCTAACACTATTAACACAAACCTCCCACAAACAAAGAGCCTCATCAAAAGATAACTCCCTGCGAAAGAGTACCAGAAGCATCCTGAATGCAAAATGGAGGCTCTCAGCACCTATACTTGACAGGTGAGAAAACATTTCCTTGTCAGTAAATTCCAAGATATGCCATAATGCTTGCAACTGTTTCATGACACCAGTTGGGCCTTCCATCTGAAAATTTTCACGCTACAGAAAGGGGAAAATAAAAATGAAGGTTACAATCCTAAAAACATCAGGGAAATAAATACAAATAAAATTGCAACAAAGTTTCTGTTTAGGATTTACCATTCTACGTAAAAGCATTTCAAAGCACCAGAAAGCATCAGCATTATCCTCAAACAGAACAACAAAGGGAGATAGCAAATCACTCATTCCTATAGAAAGGTTGGGTAAGAGCCAGAAATGAATATAAAAAGTGGGCCTCTAAACTTCAGCAATTATGAAAAAACTTCAGCAGTTATGAAGAGTGGAAAAAATTCAATATGAGCAGAAGGCACAACCTTGGCAATACCCTGTGGCAGGATCAACCCACGCATAAACAGCAAGTATGTCAGACATCCTAGCCATGTTTTTTGCATCCCCATAAAATTCAAGATGACTGTCTGTTCTGACTACATCAACAACTAAGCACGAGAAAATTGAAATTATTAGTCGTTAATTTCAAATCAATCAAATTAGAGGGGTAAGTAAATAAAATCATTAATCACTCTATTCCTGTTTATCTGTCTAGGCTGACCAATATTCCTTGTTTCTTTTTACCTGCGCATTTAAGAAATCTATGATTTCCATCATTTGCAATGGAGCCAAAGATTCATTATTTTTTGACTTGAGATTATGATGGAATAAAGCAAAATGGCTCACTAAATTGTCTGCGCTTCTTTGTTATGAAGCAGCAGTCAGTCCATGCAATTTTGGACAAGATTTTCACTATGGGTCATCCGGAAACAGTCTCTCTGTGCTTTTGTACAGGGGTAAGACTGCGTACATCCGACCCCCCCTTACCCCACCGTAGGTGGGAGCCTTTGCGGCACTGGGGTAAATGAAAATGAATGAAAATGATTTAAGAAATCTATGCATATTAAATACAGTATTCCTTTCCCTGTTTACACTTCTTATATTACTTAATTTATCATTTACTCAAAAAAACATCGAGGAAAGGGTGTCTTTGATGAGGATATTTTAGGTAAAGTCTTAAATGCATTGATTAAATTATCTGTCCGATACTTTTTAAACTGTGTGATTTGGCCAACAGTCAGGTAAACAACAATAGAAGGAGTAGCTGGTAATTTACCTATTCGATGGAGTGTCCAGAGCCATTCAGTCACTCTATCTTCACCAAGAGCACCTCCTTCAGATGTAGTCACATTTACATTTTCCATATCAGATGCTTCAGAAATTCTAGTTCTGTCATACATATCAATTTCATGTTCCACTTTGTTATGCAGTAAAAGAGGATCAGGCACATCAGGACTAGCTCTTTCAATCTCAGAGTTCCGTGAATACAAGGAATCATAAGACTGCGTGACATTTGAATCCATGACTAAATCAGCATTGTTCTTTATGCTGAAGCTGTGCATACGCTCGTCTCTAAATTGCAATTTACGTCGTGTATATCTACTATCATGTAACCTACGTACTTTCTTATTTTTGCTATTTTTCTCAAACAAATCTGTCACAGGCAGAGAAGGGAAGTCAAAATCATTTCGAGCAACAGGTTCTAATCCATTTGCTTCTGAATCAAATATGGGGGAACTACAGTTATATGGACCAGGATTGGGCAACGAGCAAAATGAGTCGCATGCCACACCATCTGTGCTTCCCCTCACGCTTACAAGGTCACCAGGATCACTAGAGATTTCCCTTTCAAAAGCATTTGATGTATCTATACAAGTATTGTTCCAATCAGAGTAACTATCAAACTTGCTAAAATCAGCCCCGGAGGTTTCTGTATTTTCAGCTTTTGTTTCCCCTCTTCCATCCCCTTTGGAACTTGTTCTCATATCCAAAACTTTAGACCCTACAACATAAGCAAGAGAACCGGTTCCAACACTGGAATGCATTGTTTGGCACTGTTTTATGAGGTCCATGTACCTTTCCCTGCATAAAAACATTATATAGATTTGTTATACTAATTGTCTAATAGATTATTTAATGGAGTTCCTTCATGCCACAATAATTCACTCTAAGTTATATTTATTCACTACTACCACTGTCCAAAAACAAGAATCATGCTTGTGATACTGATTTCACTATCTCAAACAAGACACTTTTTGGTGGACTGGGGTATATGCTTATTATTGACATTATAAACATAGTACTAAATGATTAGTTACATGCAAGTATGTGATATAACAATAAAAACTTTATCGTTGTACAGTTGTGCTATGAAAAAAGTTGAGAGAAATGATCATAAACAAGCAACAAAAGGAAACTGGAAGAAATGGCAGAATGTAGGGTCAAATTCTGTTTTCAGCAACTATAATGAAGACTGTTTTGCTTTAACTTACCTTGGAACTTTAACTTTAATCAGAAATAAAGATAGAACAAAAAAATTCTGAACAATAATTTATCTTATCTGCAGCAAACCAGCTTGAACAAAAAATTGACACTCTAGAAGAATTGAGTCCATCTTCTCACTTTCAGTTCACTTATAAGAGAAATATGTTCATCTCAACATCACATGCTACCAAACGCCTTATGGCCTCATATGTCCAGCATTTTCTGTATGTTGGCCGAGAAGATGCCAAGACTACATGACATCATAGCTATTCCATGAGAATGCTTTGAACTACCACTGGTTGCAGCAGTAGCCATCATAATTTTTTATCCCCATACACCCAACCCAACCCCCCCGCCCCTCCCTCTCTCATAGCACCCTAGACAAATTCAAACTGAACTCATTGAAGAGTGCACCTAAATATCTTAGATCTCCGCTTGAGTGTTTGGGCGCTTCGGTACCAAATGATGGAAATGAGTTAATGACGTTATAGAACAAAAAGATGAATTTAAAAATATGAGCACTGATCACAGCTCCATGCAAGAAATCGGTTCCTAGTTTTATACTCCCTCCGTCCCTTTTTTGTTAGCCATCTTTGACTTTCCAGTCAATGATGCTAAACTTTGACCGATAATATATTTATATATAATACTACTTGCATCTCATTTTATGTGTCTCATTTGGTTCTAGCACAATTTTTAATAAAGTGGTTGAAAAGGTAAAAGTTGTGGTTGAGATTTGAGTATATAATAAAGTGAAATGTTATGAACCACATATTTCTTTCCAAAAAGGGAAATGTAACACTTATTTTGGGACAACCCAAAAAGGAAAGTAAGACAGGTAAAATGGGACGAAGGGAGTAGTATTTATTATATGAAAATGTCCTTTGTTAAGAACACTATCATATAAGTAAAATTTATAAGTTTCACAAAATTGTACTCCGTATTAGTTAAAATATTTAAAATGTTCTCTGTTATGAATACGATCATTGACTAGAAAAGTCAAAGATGACTAACTAAATAGGGAAAGAGGTATTAAATTTATGAACAAACATGATGACAATTATGAACATGACTAAGATGACTGTGAAACCCACAGATTGCAATGACCAGGAAGCAAAATACCTCCTAGCAGTTCTCAGCTGTCTTCGGTACTCTTCTGTGCTGGTTAGAGCATAACAGCCTAAAAGAAATTCCCAAACTTCCGGTCTTATAGATGGATCAACACCCTATTATGCAATAAGCAGTGCATTTTAGCTACATTAGGAAACAATCAAACAACTAAATGGGACATTCATTTTTACTACTACTATGACTACTGAGTATTGACTACAATCACTAGTACCATTATACATAGAGTAAGACCCACAATACCAAAAAAAAACACAAAACCAAGTGAATTCATTTATGACATCCCATAATATATAAATAAACACACAAAAGATAAGCCAAAGAAAGATATAATAATCACACTACATCTCAATCCGTAGAGCAGCACACAACCTTTATCTAGTGCTTCAGATTTCAAAAGATTAAAACGCTCTTACCCCAAAAATGATCAATTTCAAAACCTTTTGAAACCCGTGTATCTTTCCTTCACTATCAAAACTTGCCTGCCACCTATCTGGCTTGAGCGTTTTGTTTACCTACACAACAAAAAAGAACAAAGATGACTTCCTATGTTATTGAAGAGAGAGAAATGGGTGATGAAGATAAAGCATTGCGTGATAAATAAATAATGAATTAACAAAAATTTCAAATCTTTCCAGAGCTCCAAGATATTCTTAAATTGTATTAACACCATGTGGTGATAATTACAGAGTCCTCTGACAAGGTCAAATGACACTGATGAAAGTATGAAAACAATAATAACCTAATTAAATAAGCAGTTATATTCTGCAAGAGCATACACGAATTTATATTGCAGTTAACAACCACACTATTAATTTACTGAAAATTAACAAAAATACTCTCTCAATTGAAACTAAAGTCTTCTCATTTTTCTACTTAGGGAAACTAATGGCATATAAAAATAATACTAGTCCTAAGGGGAAAAACTTCACTACCTTTAACTTCTGAAACAACATGACAAGTTAGCATAATATCTAGTCTAAACTCTAAACTGAATAAAGTGGGAGGTGACTTGTTTAAAACAACCAAAATCATACAAAGATCAGGTAGTCCATGAACACTTGCATTTACACAACATCCCACACATCAAGCAAGAACCTATATCTCTTTTTGCCATGCCTTTCATGAATATGCTTCAACCAATCTTCCTCAAACGCACCAAATACTGCGGACTGGAAGATATGACCGTCAAATGGCATGGACAAGAGTCACAAGATTCAGATTCTATCCTCAAACTAATCTGTCCTGGCATCCCCTCACTAATATCATATACCTTTATGTTGCACAGTACTAAAAAAGAAACCAAGGACAATGCCTAAGAAACTGATTCTTCATTCATTTTCATAAATTTGCATGTTTTTTCTGTAAAATATGGGCAGAGTATTAAATGATGCATCAGAGAGGCTTACAATAAATGGTTGCAATCATGATTACAATACGAAGTCAGGAAGAAGAACATTATGTACAAGACATCAAGACCAAATACAATAAATACAGTCAATTTTTTTTGGGTGAGATTCTTTTGTACCAATTCTGCAATTGTCACAAGGCTCACCCTTGGCAGAAAAATAAAAGTTTAAACAGTAGATGGAAATCATACCTTTATAGGTGACTGATGAAGGCAGGGCTCTCCAATATCACGGACAATTGAGCTCATTCTATGCAAATTCACAGAGCCTCCTTTTCCACATTTCCATTGCTTCTCACCCCAGTTGAAAGACATCACGTATGTGTTATATACTTACTACTGGTTCACAACTTGTGAACACCTGAAAATCAAACAATTACTCGTATAACACAAGCGAACGTGACACACAAGTAAGTGTCAGTGCAAAAAGGATGTGTATGTTTGGGACAATGGGTAATTGTTTGTGTGCATGCAATATTTCAATTTCAATAAAAATAAATGCATTGTCCTCGTGCACAATTGTGCAATCACCATATTAATAAAACCCTTGAATGCAACTTAAAATCAAGATACTTACAAGAGTTCAACTTGAACAAAAGAGCCAACAATTAGGCAGTAATGCCTCTAGTTTCTCCACAGGCATCACCTGAAAATGCGAACTTTATAACCATGCATATCACAGAGTGGCTAAAAACAATGCTGCCTGGCTCCATGAACACACAAAACAGAGTGATAGAAATATCTACATTCGTGATTAGGAAAAAGGATACTCACTGAAATGAGAAATCAGTAGTCCAGATTAGTGTTGTGAAAATTACTACAAGTATATTTTCAAATGGAAGACAAAATCGATTCGGGCCAGTGTCAAACTGCTACAGTGATTTTGATTCGCGACAAATTCTCAGTACTATTGATTGAAGTGACTATGTGACAGTAAGGTCGACTTTCAGATCAAACGAAAAAATACAAATGTGCAGATCGTGTAGATACATAGTTTGTGTGTGGGAGAGATATATAGACAGAGAGAGTACCTGAGAAAATAATGATTGTGGAAGAGATGTCCGAAGAACAGAGATCGGATAAGCGCTGCCTCGCCATTAACTGAAATACAAAGACGGTTTCTGGATCGAAATCAGTTTTTCGCCTGAAACTTGTTTTTTTACATGATTACCTTACTCAGTACACCTTTGCTTTAGGCTCCGTTTGGACGTACTAGACATGGTTTTTGGAACATACGGAGTATTTAGATTGTTTAGATTGCTTCTATTTTTAAATGATTTTAGATAGAATGTCATAAAAGTGGCTGGTGTATGAAAAAAGTATTATTCAAAAAATAAAATTTTGTAGTGTTTGATTGTTTAGTAAAAAAGTGTTTTAGCAATTGCTTCAGAACATTCATTATAGATTTTTAAGCCAAAAGCCGGAAAAATAAATTAAGGGAGTATTTGCAATTGCTTCTACTTTTAAAAGGTGATTTTTTGAAGTGATTTTAGAGAAAATGTTTAATAGTAAAAGTTATGGAGTGTTTGAGATTGTTTCTACTTTAAAAAGTGTTTTAGGAAAAAGTGCTTAATAGTAAAAATTAGTAGTGTTTGAGATAAAAATGCTTCTAAGAGAGTAAAAGTTGGTGTTGTTTGTGAAAATAATTGCTTTTTGTGTAATAGAAAAAATGAAAAACAATTTGAAGTACATCTTCACATGTTTCAAGCTTTTAACTTTTAAGTGCTTAATTTAAGTAAAAGTTGTTACTTAAAACACCAATTTCAGCTTTTTTAAGCCAAAAACTGAAAAATCACTTATTTTATTTTTTTGCAAACACTTCCTAGTAGTGTTTGAGAAAAAGTGCTTTTGAAAAAGTAAAAGTGGGTAGTGTTTTATAAAATAAGTGATTTTTGTGTAATAAAAAAAGTGAAAACACTTTAATTTACTACTCAAGCAAAAGTAATAAAAAAATTACAAACTCGTAAATTCATTAACCATTTTTTCAGGTTCAATACATAATTTACACAAAAGTAAATATACTTGGCGACGGTGTTACATAAAATGTGTGTGTGACCAGACAACTTTAAATATTTGTGTACGTTGAACAAATGTCTGGATTTGCATGCAAGTATTTTACAAATGTATTTTACTGCGCGTTTAATGAGTTGAGTAAGTGTTAATGTAGTTTTTATAAATAAATAAATAAATAAATGAATGAATGAATAAATAAATAAATGAATGAATAAATAAATAATGTGTGTGCTTTTGTTTGGAAACATTGTTGTGTTTGGTAATGTGAAGACAGATGTAGTGAATTAATTACATATATACACACATTATTGTTTGTCTATAGAGACGAAGTGATAATTGTGTATTGAAGTGAACATGTATACTTTTTTAAAATAATAGATGAAGAAGAATAACATATTTGCATTAAAGTCCCCATTGTTGGTATATGGAATTCTCTAGTAAAGATGCAATGTATGATTTCTTCACGGACTACGGGAGAAGAGTATGGGTTCCTGTTAGAATACGAAATTCAAGAAAGACGTGGAAGGAAGGACAATTGCAATTGCATTAGAGTGTGGACGCTGGAAATAGACAAAGCCGGACACAAAATGTTCTGAAGCCTCAACCTTCAATGCAAGTTGGTTGCTTGGCAAAAACAAGAGCACATATAAATTATGCCGGAGCATGGGTCATTTCAACGTCTTCTTTAGATCATAACTATCATATGAGTTCTACGAAGGCTACACTATGTCGGTGTAATAGGATGTTGACACCGCAAGCTATGAGTTAACTAGCAATCAATGATGTCGCGGGTATACCACTTCATAAGAGTTTCAACTCTGCGGTTGTAGAAGCCGATGGATATGATCAACTTCCATTTATCGAAAAGGATTGTAGGAACTATATAGATAAGATGCGTAGAACTTAGGTTGAGGAGTGGTGATGCGGTGACACCAAAGTTTTTTTTTGTAGAATGCAAGCACAATGCTCGTAAATAAGTGTTGATGGAGTATATGGCCCGGGAACCCCCGGCCCACAGACTCCTACTACTCCAAACAAAGGCCCAACAGGCCTAGAAGGCCCAACAGGCCCAAATCACAGCGCCCAGAGTACCAAGCAGTCCACAATGCGCACCAGGGGTGCCTTCGGCCCCCTGGCCGAGGGCTTTAACTCCCACAGGAGGGCCAAAACAGGAAAACAAGATGACTGGGGAAAACGGCGAAAATCACTAGCCCTCGGCACCAAGAGGGTCCCCAGTACTCAGAGCCCTCGGTTAGTCCTCTACAGCCGAGGGCACCTTTCCCGACATGATATCCGCACCACATGCGTACAGATCACCGTACCATGTACAAACGTCCCATCCAACAGCCGCATTAAATGCGGTCACATGCGTCTGCCAGCGCCAACCAGTTGAGGTGACCTCTCGGCCAATGGGCGCTTGACACGTGTCCCTGTCCGGCATTTATTGCTACTATAAATAGCACCCCATTCCCCCATTTGTAACCACGCTGAAAACGCTCCACACTTTATAATATACTTCCTCTCTCTATACTTACTTGCTCTGACTTCTCTCTTATTACTCCCCGTAATAACCCCTCGGATAAGCTACCCCCCGGGTACACTATCCATCATTTGGTGCTCTCGTTGAGAGGTCGAACAATCAAGTAAGAAACCCTCCCCCTTCGCCAAACACTAGCCCTCTACCAAAATGGTGAGAACTACACGTGCCAACTCCAAAAACGTAGAAGACAAGAACCTGGCCCTCGGCGACGTCAACGCCCCCGAAGCCTCTCACAGGGCTCCTGAGGGCGGTGTCATCGTTGGGCTGGAACAGGCGGCTGTCGACCTATGCCTTCAGATCCAGCAGAATGCCCCCGATGCCCGCCTCGGCATCGAGGCCAAGAAGAAGAACCGGAGCGATGACCAAGTCAGCCCTCCGGTTCTCACCATCGACGTTCATTCGGCGCTCTCCGTCTTCATCCAGACGCTCACTCAGAACCCGGGTGCCTTCGGCACCCTGGCTCCGGCTCAACCCCAGGTTGGGGAAAACATCATGCTTCCCCCTCTGCCCCACCCCTTCGGAAACCCCATCCCTCGGATTGGGAATGACGAAGGGGTAGTGGCCCAAGATACGGCCTCCCAGGAAGTTCAGTCCCGGGACCGCCACAATAACAACAGAAAAAGGCCCCGCACTTCCGCCCTCAACCGACTCGGAGGAGGGCAAGATTGTCGTGGGGTCCAAGACTGCCTCGGAGGAAAGGCACTCCAGAGGCCCCAGGAGAGCGGAGGGTCTGTCTCGAGGGCAGACGAGGAGCGTCCTCCTTGGGACAAAGGCAAGGCACCCCTTCATGCCGACGATGCTCGCCACCAAATCAACCAGGCCCACTCGGCCCGGGTTCGTTCGCAGGGGGCGGAGACCCTCCCGAAGGACCCCCGGGACGAAATTATTGCGGCCCTCCAACGCCGACTTGATGAAATGGAGGCCAACAAAGCTCACGCCACCACCTCCACCCCTCATTCAGACCTCAAGTACGAGGCCATGATGGCCAAAATGGAGGAATTGCAGAAGAAGGTAGCTGAGGGCTCCAGGGAACCCATCATCCAGCTCCGGACCTAGACGCCATTTACCCCAAGGGTATTGGCGGCCCGGATCCCGGAAAAATACCGAGGGCAACACATACAGCCCTACAACGGGAAGACGGACCCCCAGGAACACTACATCAAATATCAGAACAGCATGATGATGGTAGGGGCGTCGGACAAATATTTGTGTCGTTGGTTCCTCTCCACCTTAGAGGGCCGACATACGAATGGTTCAACCGGTTACCCGAAGGCTGCATTGATTCATGGCAAGAACTCGCCCAGCGATTCTTGACGCAGTTTGCCGGGAGGCGTCGCACGAGGAAGCACTTCTCCCACCTCCTAACCATACGCCAGAGGAGGGATGAGACCCTTCGGGACTTCCTGGAGCGCTGGAGAACGGAAGCCGACAAAATCGACGGTGCTGACGACGGAACCCTCCTGGCCCTCCTACAAACCGTCCTCCGCACCGGCAACTTTTCAAGGAGCCTCATCATTGAACCCCCCCCCCCCCCCCGCGACTACATAAGGGCCCTGCAGCGGGGGGACCGATACGCCGAGGCCGAGGAGGTGGAAAAATACCACCAGCATCCAAATCAGCAGCCCCCGAAGGCTGACAACAAGAACAACCGAGGGCCGGGGGCTCCTCCAAATCACCCCAAGTCTTCAGGACCCTCTGATGACCGCCCTCGGCAAGGCCAAGCCAAGCCCGGGGGAGGTTATAAGAACAACCCTAAGACTTGGGCACAGCCCATTCTCCTGGACCGCCCCCGGACACCATTGACGCACCCCGTCAGCATCATCCTTGATTTTGCCGAGGAGAGGGGTCTCGTTGAGCGCGATTCTCGCGCACCCCCGGAGGTACATGCTATCAACCCTCAGTTCCCCTACTGTAGTTTCCATCGGCATCAGGGGCACAGAACCGATGACTGCCATCAGCTAAAGACGGCCATCGAGAGATTGATACAAGCGGGCCATCTGTCCCAATTTATCCAGAGCCCTCGGCAGGAGGGACCTTCTCATCAGGGACCTCCCCGAGGGCACCACACGAAGGTGAGCGCTTGGGTGAACCCGAACACCATCCCCCTCGGCAAGAAGAGGGAGATCGGAAACTTGGAGGAGGAAGAGGAGGAGTACCCCCACTACCAGGAGAAAAAACGCCACATCCTCATGATCACCGGTGGCAATACAGGGGGCGATTCCACCAGCCAGCGGAAGAAGTGGACTCAATCGCTTTACGTGGGGGAAGTCACTCACATGCCCCCGGTAAAGCGGCTTAGGGAGGAACCCATCACCTTCACCAACGCAGATCTCCCTCCTACTTCTTCTCCTCACAGGGATGCCTTGGTGATTCGGACTGAAATAAACAACACCATCATTCACCGAACTTACATTGACACGGGCAGCTCCGTCAATGTAATGTACCTCAGCACCTTTAGAGAGCTGCATCTGGAGAGGGGGTCCCTTCGGACCATTAAGACCCCTCTTGCCGGCTTCACCGGCGATACTATTGATTCTGAGGGGGTAATAACCCTCCCGGTAATCTTCGGCGACGGGCTCCATAGAACCCAGCTCGAATTGGAGTTCGTCGTCGTCAACATCGACTGCGCCCACAACATCATCCTCGGCCGGCCAGCCCTCGAGGACCTCGAGGCCGTCATCTCCATGAGGCACCTCTGCCT